CCTCTAGGAAGGTAGCCACAGGAACAACGGATAAGAAACTTAGGGAAAGGACAAGAGATGCAGAGAACGAGCAAAAAGACGGTCTAGGAAATGCAGACCTTTACCAACCGTTGCCTGAGGCACATTTTAAGGATTAGATGGACAAAAAACAGAAATGACGAACAGTGGCAGAAAGGGGATAGAGGCCAGAGGAAAAACAAACCTGAGGCACAAGTAGGGATAGATCGGTCGAACTCTGAAGAAACTGACATCTGCCACCGCACGCAAGGCGCTTACTAGGAACCCTCAGGACAGAGAGAAGAAAAACAACCTAAGAATAACAAGGCAAAGAATCGTATTGTTTAGACCATTGAGTGCTAGCATTTTATGCATTAAATGTAAATTAAACTATTTTATTCATTTGCACCCAAACGTACAAAAAACTATGTTCCGATATAATCTCGAACGGTTGAGGCCAAAATGGTTATGGTTAAGATATTTTCTTTGGGCGAATGTCATCATTATTAGTGTAATCAATTTCGGGACTCGAATCTAACCGTATCACTTATAAGTTGGTGGCTACGGCACTGGGTTTGTGCCAAGGTAGGCAGCGACGATAACAAGAAAGTGGCGAATTGGCAGGGAAACAACTACCTTAAAAATATAAGGAGAAGTTTTGAGCGAAGGCCCATATTTTTCAGGTAGTTGTATCCCTGCCAATCCGGAGCATTCTATGTTCCGCGATAGCTAGCATTCAGAATATGGTTTCACTTTCAGAGAGAAAAATACATCGTTAGTTTTGGTAATAACGTCTTACTTAGCTTTTATCAACTTTTATCATAAAGTTATAATTAAAGAGGCTGTTGGTGGAATCAGTACAGTTTAGCGCATCATGTCATCTCCGTGCCAATTAAGGATTAATTATTGTAATCACTTCAGTTTCATGTTAAAAAAGTGTTTTTATACTTTCTCTTAACCACAGGTATACTCAGGCTTGTGTCAAAAACACTGAACAAAAAAAATGGCCTTTATACTAGACCACTGGACCTCGAGGGAGAACGTTTCGCACAGAACCAATAAGGATAGTTAATTGAAGAAAGGAATATTTTATTTTAGAAATGAAACAATTGTTACTGGGATTTAACAAGTTTTAAAATTTGAAATAAAAAATGAGGTCTGGATTGGATTCCAAGTATTCATCGCCAAAGACTGCAATCAACTATGAGTACTTGAAATTCGATCCAATCCTAACTTGAAGTTTTGAAATGGTATGCTATTATCATTTTTCAGTCATGCGACAGAAATGGAATTTCGTAAAGTCCTGGATTAAGTATATTTGCAAGGTAACCAGTATTTGCAAGGTAACCATGTGACCAAAATCAAGCAATGCGGTTGGCTATTTTCGTTATGAATTATCAAAATAAGTTTATAAGACATTGCACGAAAATGTAATCAAGATTTTCTATTTCAAACAATAAAACAAGTGCATTGAATTGTATAATTATTTGGACTATATAAATTTAGTCAAACGTTAGATTACTCTACACAATATGATTATACAACAGTAAGCCGGTTAGTGTATAATGCATGTTTACTATTAAACCATGTTATTTACATGAAATACAGATCACTGTCAATGTCTATGTATGGTACAGTTTTTAAATTACATCATAGTTCGTAGAAATGTCAGGTTATTTAACAAAAACAGACTGTCTAATGGATATTTTATAGTATTGTAACGTTTGTTTGCAAATAATGTCTACTCCAAAGGGTCTGGGATAGGCACAATTGCAAAAGCAACGTAGTTTCATGGCTGTGAATTTGTGCTCGCTTAAAAACTCGAGAAGTAGTGCTGCGCTGTGTTATACAGGAAATACCTGTTTTCATACAGGAAAAACCTGTTTGCTCGCCGTATACTGAATACAATTCAGTAGAGTATAAATATATTATAAGGACAAACAGGATGAGTTTTGGAAGTCTAACCCAAGAAGTTGGCGTTGAGTAGATTGTCCTCATTCACGACCTCGTGACCGTTGATAACTTCGATACATTTGTAATAGACTTCTAAATACTTGTACACATCATAGCACGTTGTATCACCAAAGAACGATTTCGTAGCTCTAACTTCACACATCGTGGTACCTTCGCAAGCATCTTTCACCTTCGTGAGAAATTTGGGCATGGTTGGACAATATTTGTCCGTCAACAAGCTGCCAGTGTGTTCTGTGCATAGACCAAAGTTTCGTCGTCCCCAGAAGGCTGAAATGATGCTGATGTGTTTGTATTCATTACACCTTAGCCACGCAGTATCTTCCTCACATTTCACTGTGCCGTTCTAAAAAGTCAGAGAGATATTAGACTATATATAGTAAATAAACAGTCAGTTCTGCTATGTATGATCATCCTCATAATTCCATATTCTTGGGTTTTATATGACGTCACATGGGAGACACGGGTCTGTGTCAAGGGTAAAGGACGCCTTTTATATTGTTTATATTGGCTTTTATAATAGTCGGAGAACTCATTTACATAAGATGCGTTGACAGCCATTTTGTTTCTTTGTTGTTTCAGTTGACCTCAGTTCAATGGTTGACCCCCACTTGAGTCAAATTATGCTCAAATATCACGTGAATGAGTGAGCACCGTCATTCATGGAACTATTTTTTATATTATTACAACGAGATTGTGGTAAACAAAGCACACTTGAAATGTCCCGAAGTTTACAATGACAGGTGTATTCAATATCCCCAACATTCCAAGAGTTATTGAACTGTGATATATTTAAGATGCTTCCAATAATGCTGGACATAAAACAAGCACAATAGCACATGACAATTTCTGATGACCCAAACTTTGTGCCAATGTTTATCAATGGCAATTACTCAGCCACTTTCAGTAACTTAATGGCAATTACACTTTGTGCCAATGTTTATCAATGGCAATTACTCAGCCACTTTCAGTAATAGGATATTTATCTCTATGTTCAGATCTGGAAAAAGTGTTTAATGTTCCTCGGATCCTGAATTTGCCTTTTTTCAAATGTTCGTCAAGTGCGTAAAAACAATGGAAAATTTGACCGTACACAACACGCCATTATGTACGCAACAACAACAAAGTACACTTGACTGTACTTATATATGTTACATGTTTCAAATGTTACTTATGTTACATGTCTCAAATGGTACTTATGAAACATGTCTCTGCGGTAGTCCAGTTCAATTGGGGCTTTGCTCTGTTGGACCACCACCGTTCATCTGTAAATATTTATTCGATGATAAAGCTATTAAACTAAACTAAACTAAATGACAGATAAGAAGTATGATAAAATGATTCCTTAAGATTCTCACATAAATAGTGCGAAAACTTGAAGATGTTCCTCAATCGTCGCGTGCTAAGGCAAATGTTTCTTAGGATCCAGGATCTCGAGATCCCACTTTTTTCCAAGTCGGTCTGTCTATATTAATAAGCATTGTCGTTATACTTACGTATCTGATAGGTGTAGGTCCAGGCATACCAGGTGGTCCTTGGAATCCGGGCGAACCGGGAGGACCTGCCATACCACTTCCTCCAATCAAACCAGGGGGACCAGGTAAACCTGGGGATCCAGGCTGACCATCAAGACCAGAAGGACCTTGAAGACCCGGAGGTCCGGACATTCCTGCTTCACCAGGCATACCCGGAACACCTGGATCACCGTGCTCACCAGGCGGACCTTGTAAACCTGGAGGTCCAGACATCCCAGAGATTCCATCTCGTCCAGGAGGTCCTTGAAGACCTTTTAAGATGAAACCCAACGTAACATTTTGATCTTTTAATAATTTGTTTAGCAATGGAGGTACGGCTGATACTGGAACGGACGTCTATAAAGGAATGAATGAAAAGTCAGAAACAAATATGCAACTCCTATTTAAATTGATAAAAAAATTTTGCACTGAAAAAAAACCCCAACTAACAAATTATATCTATTATTCATCACACTGACAAGTGGATTTCGATGGAGAATGATATAGTAGCACTATATCCACCAATGAAACGAAAAGAAGAAATGAAGATCTGCCTACGAAAGGCGTTTGTTTTTTGAATAGCGAAAGAGTACACTTATCATTGAGTTGTCTAAGATAACTATGTCAAACAAGGAATTACTTCACAATATACTGACCTCTGAAGACAATAAAATAACTAGGAACATATAAATGTCAAAAGACATGATAAACGAAAGAGTGAACTAAATCACAGGCTTGTAATTGTCCACTACCGCTAACGCTTTATAAACTTAGAATGAAATCAAGCGTGACGCTTAAAACTTTGTAAAACTTCGATCTTTTATTTTATAATATCTTAGAGTTTTTATACAAATGTCTCACGACTGAATGTGGAATAAGATCCAAATTAATAAAGCAAGAATCTTTGTCCATATATCAATATAACGAGGGATCCACTGATAGGACCTTTTTAGTCAAGTTTCATGTCATATTTTCAACGGAGTGTTCAGAAATATTCACCAAAGACAAAGGTGTAATGGTTAGTATTTTATTATAAATCTACAGTTTCATGAACTCTTTCACACACATTTACCTTTCCAATTGGAATATTTGCTTGCTTGAAATTTGTTTCCCAATGAAATGAAATTATTTTCACTTGGAAACAATTAAAGTAATTGTACTTCATTCTAAATGCTATACTATATATATACTTATTTCAATTTTCTATGGTAGGATATATTGTCTTGACATGAGAAATAGGCCTAAATCAAATTATCATATCTGTTTTAGGTAAGGTCTTCATATATTACAACATCTATAATCACTCATTCGAATTTGCTACTAACATATAGTAGTACATCATAAAACGTATATACTGACATTATATGCAGAACTGTTGAATAAATTAAAAAGAAGTTATATAATTGAAGTTATTATAATCGGTAAAGTAAATTTTCAGACCTAGACTATGTTGAAGACTCGTTTGAAAATATGTTAACAGGTACAATTTTGACAAATTATTCGCATGACATGCTACAAGAAACAAACGATTTTCAGTATTCCCTTGCACTCCGTAATAGAAAACACTTATATACTTTTCACTTTAAAACAACAGAAAGATTTGGAAGTTAGAGAAGGACATTAAAAATTTGCTTTGGTCTCTTCAGGTATCATTGAAAGAAAACATACCACCATGGGACATTTTTAATAAACATACGAAGCGCAATAGTAAAATATAAAAGCTACTATAGTATAATTACTGTGGGATAGACGATAAATCTTCTGAAAAGTACAAAATCGAAGTTGAAGCTACAATAATATAATTGTCGAAGCCATATTCTCCCATGATAAGGTTGAATAGATAAACAACATGTAGTTGATCACTTACCGAAAATCTGACCAGGGATAACCCCAATAGGAATGGCAAAGATGCCGCGAAAACGCCCATAACCTAGATGATATTCAAATCAGGTTGAAATTATATACAAAAAATCCAGTTAGAAGAACCTTAGAGTGAAAACGACATCGACCAAGGAAATTTTACCTTCGGGTGACTTAATCGCCAGCTACGATTGTTTTCGTATTCGGAATCCCAAATTAATCTTGCCTCATTGCAAAAGTATTTGAAAATAACGTAGTCGACCGTAAAAACAACTACCAGGCAGTCAACGGGTATTGTATTATTCTACTGCCTTATGTTATTATAACATCGCGCGCTCGTCCAATCATATCACAGTATTGAGCAAACACAAGACAGGTCGGGGACGAAATCAAATGCATTCAAAATTGGCCTGATCATTTGTTCGGTTTAAAAACTGGCGGCAAAACGATTGCAAGCGCGATGAATAGTCCGCTTGAAAGTATCTATCGAAAACAGGAGACTTCTTTTGGCGTATAAAGATAGCAACTGGTTATCACTGTGTCAGGATATATTGATATAACAAAGACCTGTAACTATTTTTATAATCAATATATATATAAAGTTACATTACTATTAGATTTATAATTATTGACTGTACTATATAGTACTACAGTCAATATACTTGTACTGTACGCAATAGAAAGTACAAATTAGCTCAAAAGTAGTACATTACATAAACTTTATGACATGTAAATACAAAAGATTTATAGTTTTTTTCTTTAATCAGCAAACTGTAATTTTTTACAAAAACGATTTAATAAACGTAGGAATTATTGTCTCGATATATTTCAGTACTTTATCTATTATATGCATGCCAGGAACTTGTTTGACATAAAAAAATGACTTGTGTCATTTATCTGTGCATTTTATAATCTTGACTATTAAACTTATAGAACCGACATTTTGACTTGCTATGGATGAGCGAAAGGATTTTTGGCCGAAGCAAAAAATTGTATTGGAACGCAAGTCGGAAGTTGGTCAGACATGAGACAGAAGAATGAGACATATTTTTCATCACCTTTCTAACACAAATGAAAAGACATTGTTTCCTAAAATTATTAAAGCTTCCATTCTCTTTATTCGACCACTCAAATGAACAGTCTCCTGAAGAATTTGTTGGTTACAATGGATACAATTAACAAAAATGGCGCGAAAATTCTACAAATTAATAAACGTGTCGCAAAATGCAGTATCGCCGGTCTACGCTTCTACGTTTTGGTGGCGAATTTTGCACCTAGGGAATCGCGTCGTATTGCCATTATAGTTCGCACTAAAATCTGCCTGTTAGGAAACAGGCATCAGGGTCGGCATTAGGAATGGATCTCAAGTTTGCAACAGAAAACTAAGCCTCGGGACATTTGACAGTTTGGCATCTGACATTATGCAGGTAGTGTGTAAGAGGTCTGAGGAACGGCTTAAGTATGATTTAACGGCAGAAACATACCGGGGAAATTGTACTTTGCTTAAAACTTAGTGTATTGTTAGCCTCTCAGTCATACGCAGATAACAAACAATTAATGGATGAGGCCGAGCGTGGTGTCAATAATTTTTCAGACCGAAGTCATTGTCATGTACCCCAGAAGAGAAACTGGGACGGATAAACTTTGACGAGGTCTGAATAATTCTTAAAATCATGCGTAAGTCAAATCCAATAATTATTTTATTACACATATTTGTTATTTTACACAATATTGTTTTATTACACAATAATTGTTTTATTACACATTCCAGCCAATGATGACAAAACGCAATATTTAACGACAAACGTTTTGCGGATATAAGATTACATTTACAGAGATTGTCAATAGAAAGTCACTGATCGTTGCCTGTCAACCGTTCCTATTGGCTACTAACTTACCGACAAAGGGCCTTCGCTTGAAATGTCTAAGTTCTGTTTGTATTATTCAGGGATAGTTGCGTCCCTGTCACTGAATCCGCAGATTTCCACCGGAAAAAGACTATCACTTTTTAGTATAAATTCAGTATTGAAAAATGGCTTTCAAGCTTTCTGATTGGCTCCCTCAGCAGTAACTCTGAGGCAGTAGTTACTGCTCAGACTGCTCCGAGCAGTAACCATTGCTTTCAAAACAAAATGGCTGCCAAAAATCCACTTGCAAACAAATTGTCGAAGAAAAAAATTGAAGAAATTAAAGGCACATATACAGGCTTGTATAATCACCTCGCCTTCAGTGACTAATTGTTAAATATAATCAGAACGAACAAGACTTGCATGTTACGCATGCTTATAAACAGCTCTCTCTTCGCCCACATTTAGTATCTAATCAAAATACCCCAAGAGAAATGTCAAATTTACGCAACAACAATACTAAATATATCATGAACAGTAGTATATAATCTACTTAGCACTAACCAATCAAAAGACAGATTACATTTTTTTGTCTGGTTGACCAATCAGGTGAAAAGCTAGATTTTGGCCTTTTTACATGTGGTCAGACAGGGATTTGTTTCAGACCCGCTTTTCCCTTCCATCCACCCACATTTAAGGAAGGGAAAGTAGAGCCTGATACTCAAGCTATAGCGACTGACAAGCATGCAATGCCACGAAGGAAGTAAATTTCCGATAGTTTACCGCTAAAACATTTTTATTTTATTTCATTGCTTTCACACTCCTGCAAATAAATACACAACTATAGAACACTATTCTCCACCAGTCACTGATTCTATTCGCTATAACCTTTCACTTACTTGATTTTGATCATGTGTGTACATTAATGTGCACTGTCCTCTCAGTCCACATACCACCTGATTTACTTTCTTATATCCCTACTTCACCTATCATGTCGCTCCTATTTTCTTTCATCTTAGTGGCTCGTTTCTTTGTGATAGACGCATAACCTAATTTTGCAACTGCACACCCTAATAAAACAAAAAAAAAAAAACTTTTCCCACAAAACTTTCCTGTCAATAAAATTTATGATTTTTTAATTTAAAAAGCTTAATATTACATTGAAAAACTCATTAATAATTCATGAACCAATTATCCAATCTTGAGTAAGAAATTAGTCACGTGCATACGTCTTTATATAAAGATTTGACTTATTATGCATACGTTTTTGAAGCCATTTAAAAAACTCGCAGGTCGTGTTTTATTAGGTCTAAAGCCACTCGCGCTGCGCGCTCGTGGCTTTAAACCTAATAAAACACTCCTGCTCGTTTTTTAAGTAGTACGTAAAAACCCGCATAAACCACCAGCATGAGTTTTAGTCAATTTCGTATTTTGATTTCGATTTAAAGACTAATATTAGTTTTATGAACTTATAACTTGATTAGCTACACGGTTCGTTAGAAATTAGCAGGAAAAAATTGTATTAAAACTGTTTAGGACCTTCATAGCTATTGGATGTCAATGCATGGCCGCCATCTTGCCTTCAATTTTCTTATAGGCCGAATGATTGAATTTCTTGCTCCAGGTATATATAGAGCTCATGCGGTACTACGTATGTCAGGCCTTGAGAAATCTTCCCAATTTCCGGCGACAAACAGCAATTCACCAAAATATAAAAGATGGCGGATCGGTCGATTTTACTATAATGCTTTGCGAACCTAATTGGTTATAAGTGTTAAAATAGTTCGACGTACTTGGTAACATCAATTTAGGTTTTTGATATATACTATTTCTTTTGGGGTATTTTCACCACACAGACATGTTTTCTGCTCGCAAAGAATCATGGTAACATCGACATCCGCCATCTTTCTTATTACGGTGAATTGCCGCCAAAAATACAATTACGGCAAATTTTTGTCAATGATTATCAAACAATTTTATTTAATATATTATGCTATAAAAGAATCTATTAAAGATCGACAGTAAGAACAAGTTAATGAACATATAACAGATCAATATTTCCGATTTTAAATAATCCATCTGTTATTAACATACGTCTTCGATTTCAAATTGTCATTTGGGAAAAAACTGCCGGGTCGAACTGCTGCCGAGCTGTAAATTATTTTTTGTCTGCGATGACGTTTTGAAATTGCAAGGACTGGGCCAGATTTTTGCTCCATTGGTTTATATATTCAGCCAATCAGTTTCAGCTAAATCAGAATAAATTAAACAGTTGCAGCAGTTTTACGTGATACGCGACCACCTCACGGAAAAAGGTTGATAGCAATACTTGTTTTTGAAATTTAGGCGCGATCGCAAATTCATTAATATATCAGAAAAGTCAACAACCCAACAAAGCCCGCCAAATTCGATCAAAACTCACGAATTTTATAATTATACGCGATGACTCATCGAGTATTTATTAAACAATCGGAACTGGCGGGCTTGGTTGAGTTGTTGACATTTCTGACACCGAATTAGTGACCGCGCCTAAATTTCAAAAACAAATATTGATGACAGCACTTCCACGTTTCATAGAAATTTCCATATTTTATAGAATTTTTGAAGTGAAATGGAACTTCTTGTAGAACAAGAATAATTATGGCATTTTTATGGAAATTTCAGTATCCAGAAAATACTGTAAAACGTATTAAAATATGCGTTAAAAGTACTGTAAATTGTACTGAAATATGTGTTAATGCCAATTAATTAATCTAATTTTCAATTTTCCTTCCTAGATCTGTATACATCTGTGCTCTACATGTTCTTATCAATCTTATCCCTAACCAGTTTAAAAACGTCGAAACTTGTGTGGGATAAAGTGTGATATTCTGGGATGATTTGGGATACCATTGGTAATTAATGGATATTTTTGCTCATATATGCAAATTGAACATTTTAATGTGGAACTGCCGTAACGAGAAAATTAGCGAACAATATACAGCTATTTCAATTAAGGTTGTCCCCGAGCAAAGCGAAAAAGTCGAATACGAGCGCGAAAGGCTTGCACGAATCGTTAAAAAAATAATGATTCCCAGCAAGCCTTTCGCGCTCGTATTCGACTTTTCCGCTTTGCTCCGGGACAACCTTAATTGGAATAGGACTGTTCATCTCTACGTCTCCGTCTGTTTGTCATGACCTCATTGACCTGAGACGATTTTTGATACTATCAGGCCAAATATATTTTGATAAGTCACACATATATATGCGGCTGAGGATTGGTTTCGTTGAGAGACCAGGGCCGTAGGAAGCTCTTTCGATTGGGGGGGCTGAAAGCGAGGGCCGAAGGCCCGAGGAAATTTTTAAATTTAGAGTCTCTAAAATGCCATTTCCTGGACTTTGGGGGAAGATTTAACAGAATTCTGATAGTCAGAAAACAGCGTTTTAGTATGTCGAAATTTACAGGAAAATATGGGCCAGACTGTAGTATTATAAATGCGCGGCGGGAATTTTCGTCGTAAATGGCAGTTGCGCGGAAATGAAGGTAGAACATTTGAGAAAATTTCGAAAATCTGGAGTCTCTAGATGGTCTGAAATGGCATTTTCAGAGTTTTCTTTCGCAAGACCCAACACGCAAAAGACAAAATAAATCATTAGTTCATCAAAAATGTGCAGATTTTGTGGGATTTTTTTGAAAATGCGCGACAGAAATTCAGCTAAAATTTCTACGCGAGGAACGATCTGGAGTATGAGTAATATCTTCATTCTTTGCAGTTTGTCACAGATTAAATGATAAAGTTTGCATGATTTTGAAAAAAGAATGATTATTAGCAAATTATTGGGGGGGGGGGGGCTGCAGCCCCCCAGCCCCCCCGGTTGCTACGGCCCTGGAGACTGTTGTAGAGGGTTCGAATTTATTAATTAATACCGAAATATAATAAAGCTCACCGAACTGTAGCATCCATTAAATGTTTGCATCGCGCTAACACTCCCATAAACGCCTACGACATAATTCTAATTTTAAACAGCCAATCCGGTTCTTGGTAACAATTACGATAAAAAGTCGATTGGCTGTAATAATGGCAACAAAAATTTCTCATTTCTTTCTCATTTGAAAGAACGTTTAAAATTATCTATAAAATCCTTTACCAGATTTTTTGTATCAAGCTTAACTTTTGAAACACTGACTGAAAGCAATTAGCTATCCGCCATCTTGGATCAATTCTTACAGATGCTGTACAGCCCGATCTGCACATGCGCACAAAGGAACCCTCTTTTTATTATAAAATCAGTTTATTTAGGTTTTTACTTCATTTTATATTCTTGCAAAGCTTGATTGCTGCGTATTGATAATTTATTATACCCTAGAATCATGAAAATATAAATAGTTGTCGAATAAAATTCTATATTTCGGATACCGAAATGTAAACAAAACCTTTGTTTACATACGAACTGTATCGCATCTTTAACCTCATTAACTATCGTTTTGATGTTTTGATGACGTCAGGAGTGGGGTTACTTTTAAGTTGCCGAGTAACAATCAAAAGTTGTTGTCGAAATTTGAAATAGCAACCAAAAAGAAGTTTTGGGTGCATTTTGATCACTGGCTATCCGGGTAAAAAAGCTTGCGATGCATATATCCTCAATAATCCAAGGGATGACGAACAGCTTATTGCTTTCAGTCAAAATATTTCGAGAGTTAAGCTTGATACAAAAATCTGTAACAAAATTTTGTAGATAATTTTAAACTTCCTTTCAAACGAAACAATAAACATTTTTGTTGCCATCGTCCTTTAAAATTAGAATTGTGCACTCAGCCTCGAGCAGCCATTGGCATTGCCATTAAATCTCGTTTATTTTAAATTCGCCATTGAAGTGTGGTATCGTAGACAGTTTCAGCGTAATTCAGCCGCCCTTAATTGTGTTGCAAGCAGCTCCGAACGAAAATTATCATGAAACTGGTTACGTACTCAAATAGTGCGGATCTTAAAACTAGTTTGTCAATAAAAGATAGTCGAAAGGAAACTCGTTGTCTTACACTCGAGAGAGTAATCTTGCCAAAGAACTTGTATGGAAAAGTTGCTCGTCACTAATGGGCTTAAGATTGAAACCCCGTCCACACTCGCTTGGCATCCAGATTCGCTTGTATCTGGAAACGTTTTGTTATCCGCGAATACGAATGTGGTTGGTGTTATTTTTGCTGTAATCTTTTCCATGGTGCGAGAGTAGACGAACAAGTAACATGTCGAATCTGGAGGAAAAGTTAGTAAACCTAAGGGAAAAAATAAGAGCTAGCCCTTTGTGTGGACAGTCAGCACAGATGATGGAGTACAGCTTCTTTTAAATGTGATTCTGTAAAATAAAGTCGCAAAGCGTAACTAAGAATCCAGTCCATCAGCGTGGACTGGATTCGGTACTGTCATTCGTTATTTTAGCGCCGTAGGTGGACCTCAAATTTCATCGATTTACGTCATCGTTTTCAAAACGTTCCGCGGTCACAGTGCGTCTCCACGCATCCGGATTCGTTGCGTTTTCAAACGTTTCCATTCTGGAGAGCATTTTCAAAAGCTTGCAGTTTCGGTGTGCGTTTTCGCCGAATGCGTGTGCACGGAAGGTGTATCCGCAACAAAATGTTTCTAGATACAAGAGAATCCGCATACGTTTGTACGGGAACCATGCATGTTCACATGAAATCGGAAGAATTTGAAACAGTTCGCAGTTTCGTCAGATTCCATTTGTTCACAAGGGAATTCCTACGGTTAAAATCCATTCGGTGGACAATTTGAAAAAAACATACAACCAATTCCGAAGAGATGCATCTTGAAAATCGAATTATAGATATGGATAAAAATCAAGAGAAAAATTTATGTGGTGATATTTCGAGTTTATTTCAAAGCCTTCTTCAGTTGGTTTGTAGAAGGCTTTGAAATGAACGAAATATCATCATATAAAATTTTTTCTTGATTGTAATCCATATACCTTTGATTTTCAAGATCCATCTCTTCGGAATTTGTTTTACTTTATATTCCCCATAGGCCCGTTTACATTTGCAACCTTTGTGGCGATTTTATGTGAGATTTCTTCTTCTGATAGATGTGAACGAGTGAATGAGTTACGAATGTTCAGATGAAGGTGCATGCATTGAACTATAAATAAACTGGAAGGCTAACTGCTATGATGAAGGCCTATGATTTGATGAAGCCAAAATAGTTTTTCTGAGTTATGAGCAGAAATACTTGACCCCAAACGTCGGCTATATATCAAATTGAAGCTATTGAAAATTGCTATTCGGTGTGGAAATTTCAAGACTTCAGCGAAAAGAAAAATATTTAAAAAATACAAAAACAACTGCAAAACGGCAAATTATCGGTAATTATGTTTGTAGTTTTTCAATATTTCCCTTTTAGCTAAAGTCTTGAAATTTCTACACCAAATAGCGTTTTTCAAGAGCTTCAATTTGATATATAGCCCAACGTTCAGTGTTCAGTATTTCTGCTCATAACTCAGAAAAACTAAAATGCACTGGCTTCAATTTCCCCCCCTGAGTTAGCCTTCCAGTTTATTTATAGTTCAGTGGGTGCATGCAGTCAGAACATTAATTCATAACTCGTCTTCTCGTTCACATACATCACAAGAAGAAAATCGCAATAGAAATCGCAGCAAAAATTGCAAGAGTAAATGAGCCTTACTGCTATAGAATTAATCCCGTTTCACACATCCTGTTCGAACGGAAAACCCCAATAAAATGCAGAGATTTCATCCGCGTCGTCTGAGCACAGTCTGACTCTTAGACAGCTAGTTCCAACGATGATAAAAATATCACACCAAAACATTGCCGAAATGTTATCATCGCTATATGGACGATCGAAATTGACGCTTGATTAAACAGCGTTGTTTTGATTGGCCAAAACGTCCAAATGTTTGTCAATCTTACATGATCTCAGACCGAGGACCCTTGCTTATTTTGTTTTAAGTATCGAAGCAGGTGCTCGTGCTGTGATTGGCTGAGGCAGGCAAGCGTGAAAAATACCAGTGACCGAGGAAATATTCTTGATCTGTAAAAACGACTCAACAGGTCGGGGGAAACTTATCGCGTTCGAAGGGAATATTTTCATTCAATAACATCAAACAGAACTAGTAATAAGGTATGTAACAAAATTGATCTTCCTTTCTCAAAACACGTCGTATACGGATTGTTTTACTACTTTTTTAAAGCTAATTTTCGCAAGGTATTTTATTATCACGGCTCGTTGAACCATCAATTGGGTCATGTCATACTTACAAATACAGATATAACTTATTCCTTATAATACTTCCCTAAATCCAACTATATTTGAATTCTTACTACCCACATCCGTAAATAACGTTGGGATTTGTAAATATATTACAAATATACATCAATTTCGCTTTTCTGTCAGTTTTTATTAAAGCAAAATTGTCGCCGAATTGTCACGTGATTGTTCGAGCCGATGACTTTATTATTCTAACAGTTGAGTCATTCTCGCAGGAGACGATGGATTGCCAAGCCATGTTTCGTAAATTTTCTTAAATAAAACTTAATTTTACCAAAATATTCTTTTTAAAAGCTTGGTGGATAGAATTTGGTAGGTTGTTGTCAATTTGTGCGAGTTATGATATGTAGGAATGATGTCGTGTAAGAGCTTGGGACCAGGACATGATTCTGATTTTTGTCGAGATTGTTTTATTTAAATGATTAAAAATCGATACAAGAATATGAATAACGCTAATTAACATATGCTGGCCATGATATTCTTCAAGAACTTGTTTGTACATAAAATTATTGTTATTTATTAATACTAACGTATCGCTAAATAACGTGGTTAAATTATAGCAAAGCACGGAAACAAAATGGCTGACCATATATATGTAACTACTTTGGACGTTTTAAGAGCCATAATTGCTGTGTATATTTTGTAACCCAGTATATTATATACCGTATACACTTTGCAGTTTATAGCAAGATAACTACTTGCTATTATTTAGATCATATATAAACATTGTAACTAATTCTTTGCAAACGTATTAGATATTATAACATCGATTTCGAACTTATATTTTTCATTTTATCTTTTTCCCAGGAAATGAGGCACTGGCTAGGCACAGGCTTCCCAAGCCTAGTAGTTGGCCTTTTAACGATATACGTAGGATGTACGGTAAGTGGACTTGACTACACTCATCTGGGCAACCGAATATTACCATAAAAGGTCAAGAAACCAACAATTTAATACCATGCTCTCTTTCATATTTCCTTTTTCCTACGTCAACATGTTGCAAAATATAATTGAGCGAATAAACCATCCAATATAGGGGAAGTTAAGTACATGAGTACATTTAACTTCAGGGATCTAATCAAAATATACAGCCAAATAAATTTAAAACGCTATAATCCTCTACAAATCCAAACAACACATAGTACTGGAAAAAATAGTTAACTCCCCAGAGCTACGTTAAATTCTTCAGTGCAGATTAGCATTATAAAATAATATTCAATCGTGTAAAATTTCGAAACCATATTTGTCTGGCAAGGTATATGCATGTATAGTACATTAAGTTAGTACATTAGTTATTTTTCACACTTCTAAATTCTTATGATTCAAAGAATGCAATAATTCTGTTTGTAGTGCGTTCAAACAGAGCTGTAAATCGTTTTTTATGTTTGGTGAACAGGATTTTACCAAGTTATTTGGAGTTTTGATATAAAAATGTTCAACAACAGGTAGTACCTGCAGGCAACATCTAGCCAAGCACTTGAGAAGTATAGACTGCTATATACTTCATTTCCTTCTGGTCTCTAAACTATAAATGTATTTTTCAGATATTTCAAAACGAGGAAAGACTTTTTCACTACTCAATTTTACTCTAGCCACGCGTGAATTGCGATAATACTAAAATGTGAAAGCGTACCCAACTCTATTAAATCACAACTCATATATAATATATATTCCCAGTGTTGTCGCGGCTCGTATCGAACTTCCTGAAAAGATTGAGAATACTGAATACCTTCAGACGAAAGGAATTTGCTTGAAACGTCGAAACGGATTTTTCACGTTGTTCAGATACAAACTGCGGAAGCATTTTCATAATAGCATATATTTCGGAATAGCATATAGCATATATTTCGGAATAGCATACCCACATTGAACCATGTATATGCAGATATCACACAAAATAATGCTCACTGATGGATTTATTTCGAGAAGACTAACATTGAATGTCAAACAAGAATGTGTATTCACGACTGTAAAAAAATTGTTGTTGACAAACCCAACTTAAGAAGTTTACGGTTGCATTTTCAGGTTTTTAAAAGTGAATTGAAAAATTAAATATTTTGTTTCTATTTCCTCCTAGCTTTCACAACGAATATTACCAGACTGGCCAAAGATCGGTGACCGGATCACCCAACCATTCCTGGATCAACTCATGGTATCACAACTTTTAGAACAGAACCTGACGTTAGGATTCTTCTTGAAAGGTCTTAACGGTCCTCCTGGTCCACCGGGCCCTGCTGGAAATGCTGGCGAGCCTGGTCCAGCTGGAATCGCAGGTCCACCGGGACCACCTGGTCACGTGGGTGAAGACGGTGCGCCAGGTGCGACGGGCACGCCTGGACCACCAGGTCCACCCGGACCTCCAGGTTTGCCGGGTGAGAAAGGTGATCCTGGCGAGCAAGGTGCGCCTGGTGCCGCAGGTTTACCTGGTGCTCCTGGTTTACCTGGATCCCCTGGTGCTGTTGGTCCACCTGGTCCAGAACCTATCATGCCGGTAAGTTCAAAAAGTTCAGAAAATACTATCGATGTTCCCAAACGCTATCCAAACTTATGGCAGACTACTTCGTTAGTAAGAGTCAAGTCAAGCTGGGAACATTGTGAGGGGAATAGTTTCTTAACCATTTCCTAGCAATGTCTCTCAAAGTTTGGAAACCAGGAAAATCTATCAGAAGAGTTTGCGTATGGAATAAATAACTTCGGACTAGCTTCGGAGTAAATTGGTTAATTACAACAAATACTGACTCTGCCATTTCATATGTGCAAGGTTTTTCTGCGTAAAATTTAAGTAATATATCAGCATAAAAATAAGGCTGGTGCTTAAATGAACTCTTTTATGAACTGTTTTTTAAGAATTATTTTTCCTCACTAGAACTTCACCGTGATTTGCGAAGGTGAGAAGGGTTGGGTACAATGTAAACAATACGAGCTCATCAAGATTACCAAATCATTCTGGGGACGTGATGATCACGTGACGTGTCCCAAGGTTCCCACCGGGCTTACAATCGACAACCTCTGCGAGACGAACGAAGAGAATACAAAAGAAAAGGTCGATGGGCAATGTAAGGATCAACAGGCTTGCGAGGTGGTCGCCTCCAACATCTTCTTCGACGATAAGAGTTGCGGGAATACGTATAAATATCTGAAGATTTGGTACGAATGCGTTCCGGACGAGGCGAACGTCGTTGACGCTTTACGAGACGGCGGCAAGAGACGTAAACGAAAACGAGCGGCCAAGGAAAAGAGACACGCTGAAATGCTGAGACACCAAGAGAAACAAAAACGTCACGTCTAAACCAACGGACCAACCATTTTTCACGATCACTGATGGACGTTGATATAAATAAACTCGTTTTTGTTGAAACGGAAGAATTGTAAATTTGCTGTTTATCAGTGAACGTACCAAGGACTATATTTAGCTTATTGCTTAAAACATTGAGCAGAACTCAAACCCATGGACCATTTAATATAAACTTTTACAACCGATACTGCGTGTATGACAATGTAAATTGAGTTTCGTATAAATTTTCTCTCATATCAAATAGCCAAAGGACAAATACTAATTCGTACGCAGGTTCCCGTATAACACCACAATGAAATATAATGTGCAAATTAAAAATTCATATATATGTTTATACATAATCTAGATATAATAGAACTATTATGAACTTTTCAATTCTTGACGTGTAAATTTTCAGTTCAAAGACACTATTTGATGTGTTAGAAAGTCTGTTTAAAATGTCGCTAGTTTTTAACGCAGTCATTAAAGTACAGCTGGTAGACATTCACGAGCAGTTAACTCAACCTGTCCAAATACTTTTGTGAATAGAAAAGTTTATCTTTATATGGTAACAATAAAACAAAACATTATAATATTGCATTTTACTTATTTTGAGGCTTTGCACTGTCATGGAACTTGGGTAGAACAGTTTAGGACTGACAGACTACGCAAGTAAAAAAAACTAGTTTAGTTTAATTTAGTTTAGTTTAGCTTATGAAGCAGTTTCTATCCAAAAATGAGGATTGGATTGGAATTCGAGTCTCAGAGTTAGTTTCAGGCAAATGTCAAACTTCATCCAGTCCTATAGAACTTGATTAAATTTTATCCAGTTCTAGCAATGGTCAAACTTCACCCAGCCCTAGAACTTGATCATACCTTCATGCTGCTCTGGCACTGGTCTCATTCAATCTTCATTCAGCCCTGGGTGGACTAGAATAAGTCTCATCAAGTCCTGGGACTGGATGGAGCTTGATCTAGGACAGGATGAAGTTCGATCAAGTTCGAGAATTGGATGAAGTTAGATCAAGTCCTAGAACTGGATAAAGTTTGATCAAGGCCTAGGGTTGGACAAAGTTTGATCAAATTCCAGGAATGGATGAAGTTTGACCAAGTCCTAGAACTGGATAAAGTTTGATCAAGGTCCAGGGCTGGATGAAGTTTGATCAAGTTCTAGAACTGGTTAAAGTTTGATCAAGTCCTAGGATTGGATGAGGTTTGATCAAGTCCAAGGACTGTGTGAAGTTTGATCAAGTTCTAGGACTGGATGAAGTTTGGTCAAGTCCTAGGACTGGATGAAGTTTGATCAAGTCCCAGGACTGGATGAAGTTTGACCAGGGCCCAGGACTGGATGAAGTTTGATCAAGTCCTAGAACTGGTTAAAGTTTGATCAAGTCCTAGGATTGGATGAGGTTTGATCAAGTCCAAGGACTGTGTGAAGTTTGATCAAGTTCTAGGACTGGATGAAGTTTGGTCAAGTCCTAGGACTGGATGAAGTTTGATCAAGTCCCAGGACTGGATGAAGTTTGACTAGGGCCCAGGACTGGATGAAGTTTGATCAAGTCCTAGAACTGCATAAAGTTTGAATACAGTAAGTCTCAAGACTGGATGAAGTTTGATCAAGTCCCAGGACTGAATGAAGTTTGATCATATCCTGGGATTGGATACAGTTTGACAGGATTCAACCAGTCACATCAAACTTCCATCCAGTCCTAGAAATGATCGAACTTCATCCAATCCTATAGGAATGATCAAACGTCAACCAGCGCTAGCGATCAAACTTCATCCAGCCTTAGGACATCCAACCAAACTGAATCTAGCTCTACAACTTGATCAAACATAATCTAGCCCTAGGAGTTGATCAATGTTCATCCAGTCCTAGGACTTGATCAAAATTCATTCAATCGTATGACTTGTTCAAACTTATTCCCAATCTTATGACTTGTTCAAAACTATTTTCAATCTTATAGAACTTGATTAAAACCTTATCCAATCCCAGCGAAACATTTCTTAGTGTTTCGTAAACGGGTTCGTAGCGTTTCAAGAGGCATCAGGCAATTCGTGTGGTAAACATTATTTAGCATATTTAACAGATATTGCAATATAGAACTTTGCAAAAGGATATCCCAGTGTAAGTCGTAACGTTGACTTTCATCGTGTGACCTTGGTTAGACGACTGAGCGTGTATTAATGTATCATGGACACCAGTGTACTGTTTATCACTAAATTCTGGCTTATATATACGCATGAAGCACACCAATCCACGTAGGATTTATCAATCTAATGATCAGTGAAGCCATAGTCTAGTCCAAAGATTACCCAAAGAGTATGTCTTTTAATCAAACACAAAACAATAGACACTCCTTAAATTGTAAACATTGTAATTCTCAACGTTTCGACTATTTATTTACTGTCATTTTCAGGAGAATTCCACGTTTTCAAAAAATAGTTGGCTTTTTAAAAACGTAGCATTTTCTTGAAAATTACTATAAACGAAACGTTGAGAATAACAATATTTACAATTTACATAGTATCTATTGTTTTGTATTTATTGTAACGATCGTGGATGATCGGAATCAGTTCGTCATGCAATCGTACAAGGCGGGCAACTACATAGACAAAATCAAATCTTCACGGTCGAGCGAACAAGCATTCGGTTGGTTTGACAACCTGACGCGAGGCGTGAATGACGCAATGACTTTACGAGTCGATGATCTTACAAGGCAAGTGAAGAAACTTCTTTATAAAATATAATAAAATTTGTCGTTTTTATTCTAATTTCAAGGATATACTGCTTTTGGGAAGCAAATTGGAAAAATAGGTACGAAAATTATAACTTATTTAAAAATTTCTTTACGAAATAAGAAAACGAAGATGGATTTTGTAATAATAAGTTGTTTATGACCTGCAGTGGTTTGGGTCTTTGATAAAATAAATAAAAATATTTTAGACACGCGTTGTAACCTTTAAATTATTCTAAAATATAGTAGTTTTTTGGTAGATTATTCAATTTTCTTTTTAATGTACAAACTTAATTTCGAAACCGGAATGTTTCGTGCATTTTCAAATCGTATCCACCCAGCGTGACGCGGGTTGGCATACATGGATAGACACCGTAATAGCATTGAAATATTAGGAAAGATACAATGGTAGTAGTACATATATGTGACACTGTCCCCTTTGCATTGTACTGGAGACGGTGTAATTTTTTTTTAACTAACAAAAATACCTAATTAATTTAAAGACATTTTTGCCACCCTGGAATTGGATGCAAACGTTACATATAGTTATAATTCTTTCACCCAAATTATTCAGAGTGAGGATAATTGAAATTGATCGTAAATGATGTCGTTTCAAGTTTCAAAATTATATTTAACATTGAAAATTATCACTTTGATACAAATGAATAGGTAAGGCCGAATAACATGTGGAGAAGAATGCAACAAATCGACTCTAAAGACCCGTTTAAACTTGCAATTTTTTCTGCGTTTTTGGATGTGATTTTCTTCTTCTTCTGATGGTGTGAATGAATTATGAATGAAATTTGCTGTGTTGGTGTAATGTACTCAGGTGAAATTAAAATAATTTGAATATATCCACACCGGGCAGGCTTGAAAAATATGCCTGGCCACGGTGTGGATATACACTCAGAGTAACATCACACAAGCATCTTATTCACCTGAGTACATTACACCAACACAGCAAATTTCATGATTATTAGATTACACTGATATCGAAGGAACTAGACTCAGTTCCGAAATATCGCATACTCGAACCGACCTGACCGCGTAGCTCAGTTGGCAGAGCATTGGGCTTGAATTATGAATGTTCAGACGAAGGTACATACACTCACAACATTCATAACTCATCTACTCCTTCACATGGATCAGAGGAAGAGAATCACACAAGTGTTAACGGGCCTAAAAGGCCTGATGTCAAACAAATTAAAACGATATTTAATGAGGTTAAGAATTAATCCAAGATGGTGAGCAGTTAATTGGTTTCAGTTAAAATATTTCAAGCGGTAAGCTTGACATAAAAAATCCGTAACAAGATTTTACAGATAATTTTAAACGCTCTTTCAAATGAGGCAATATTTTTTTTTGTTGCCATTGTCTTTTAATGCACACAGTCTCCTCTATTTTCAGGTAATGAAGTTACCACGGAGCCTAGCTGGCTTTCTTGTCATTTATGGCGCATTTCATATCGCTGTAAGTAATTTTTAAATATTAAATAAAGAATCCAGAATTGGGACTGAGTTTGGTCAAGCGACGTTTTCGTGAACACGAACGGCGGATTGCCGAGAGGGACTGGATAAAAAACTGTGCTTGTGTCAGTTTGTGGTAATATTCAATGCATATGACAAAACATAATATTTTTAAAGTTTTTCATGTCCTTACACGAGCACTAGGTTCCAAAATGGCGCCATTAGTTGTATGTTAGTTATATGTAAACAAGTTTTCGAGGATTGACAAAAACATTGCTTGCTCACTGTAATGACTATAGTTAAATCCGAACTAGACGAATTCTCTCGCGCAAAGCGAATTAGCACCATTATTAAAAAAGTATCAAATGTATTAATACAAAATTGGTGGGACAAATGGAAATTGACCAAGAACAGAGGAATTAAATTTTGGTTAAATTTGAATAAAAGTTAGATGAGATGATGAGGAAGATGATTATGATGATGATATGTTAGTTTGGCTCGTAGCATGATCGATGGGTTAATCTGTAAAATGCTTAATATGCTCAGTTTTCGTTACAACTCTTGATACATTTTTTTTCTTCATATAAATTAGTCACAAACTGAGTTTCAATAGATTAACCATTCCAGCATTCTTCAATCGAGATTAATTTTTACTGTTGTAAATAGTTTTTTATGTACGTCTGTATTTGTGTTGTCTTGGTGGGACTTAATTGGGAACTTCTGTTCCGTTGTCCTGACCTTCGATCTTATTGATTGTCAAGTTATTAAAAAAAAATTAGCAAAAGTTTGTCTTGAATACTTAATTAGCGCATATTCATGCACCATCATCCAATTACATTTTCATACAAGTTACTGTAAGTCAAGTGATTGCATGCATGATTATTGTCTTATGTAGTTCAGCAGTCCAGTAAAAGATAGCCAACGCCCTCATGTGATCAAACGACGAGACAGTATAGAAGATTACTATTGGAATGAACACTTACCTCTTGGTTTCTTCATCAATAACGGCGGAGATGCCGGCAATAATCCTGCTCATCAAGGCGCAGCTCTCTTTGGAAGTGGATATGGAAGTACAAGTTCAACACAGGCATTCGCAAGATCAGGCATCCCAGTAAAACCTAAAGTAAGAGTATAAACACTGTAACAAATTCCTGAGTATCTTGACTCAAACTAGAGTAAAATAGTGCGCCCATAGTGAGTCAAATGTTGAGTAAATTATTCAAATTTACCAGGAAATTTATTGCAATTTTTTAGTAAAGTTTCAAATTTATACTCAGTATTTCGAGTAAAGATTTACTAAAAAAATGCATAAATTTGCTCATAAATGTGAGTAATTTTATTCGATCAATATTTTACCCGGTGCAATATTTTACTCAAGTTTGAGTATGATATCAATATAAACTCAATCAATATAGTTCCACGTTAGTCTGCAAAACCAGACGTCATTTCCCATGCCCATTCGTCGCTCGGAAAGTGACAATGACGTCTGGGTTCGCAGACTAGTTCCATGTCGTACTGACTTAGGTTTTTGATGTACTAATTAGGATTGTATAGATATTCGATCAAGTTTTATGACATATACACCCCGCCCCTCTCCATGGGCTACTCAACTTTGTGAAATTTTGAGTACGAATATATATATTTAAAATACTTATTAATAATTCATAAACCTTGTGGCAAATCATGACAACCATACTATGTCACGTGGAGAGACTTTATATCTGATAAAACTCATCTTCATTGGTATTCTTTATATAATTGTTCATCCTAATTAGTATGATTATATAATTATTCAACATAATTAGTATTCTTTTGTGGTCGTATTTTAAGCTATTCAAATAGTTGATGCCAATGTAAGGTGTTTTTTGGAGCTGGATTTTGGTACAATAGTTATATCAAGTGTAGATGTCCGAAATGCTGATATTTGTATAAACTTTAAGGTGGCTCTGTGAAGGAGCGAGAGCTCTAATGACGCAACTAAACACCTTCATAAATCTCTCACTTCAGAATTCAGAAATCAAGACCACAATAACATGCGAAGGTGAGAAGGAATGGCTGGAGTGTGGCAAATACAAACTCATCAACATCAAATCAGCATTTTGGGGTCGTGACGACAGTAGCACGTGTACAAATAATGCTGTAGCACGTGGACTGAAGACGGACGGCATGTGCCCACAGGACGAATCAAATACGATGACCAAAGTCAGAAACCAATGCCAAGACGAGAACGCGTGCGAGATATCAGCCTCAACAATTTTCTTTGATAAAACGGACTGCCCTAGCACATACAAGTATCTCAAACTAGAATACGAGTGCAAGCACAGTGAGTCAAAAATTAAGGAGTAGATGTGTATTAGTGCCACTGTATAATAAAAGAACTAGTAAGAACGGCCGCTAGAAAATGGCTGTATTTTGAAAAACATGCATGAAATTTTGTATAATGTAGGCATGCCAGGTCAAGTGAACGGATACGCCCAAAAGCGGACTTTAACCAGCTGTAATTTATTGTATATAATAATAAATTTCTTAAACTGTAACTTTTAACAATAATGGAGAGTAAAGAAGTAGAGAAAATTCCCGGTTGATTTGGAAAATGTGTTGTTGTTGATCTGAAAGAATATTTCCTGCAAACATATTTTGTCGAATGATATGAAGTTATGAACAGAGAAATAATTCATCCTCCTCAGGTGAGGTTCCTGGAGAACCAGGATCATACAGTATGGAGGCCCACCAAGGGTGTAACCCAGGTCGCTTGTCACTCATTTTGTAGCTGCTTTGTCACTTGTTTGATTGTAATAAATACACAAATCGCAATTTGTCGCTTTTTTCCTGTCAGAAGCTGTCGTTTGTCGCTAGTCTATCGCCTCTTTTTAAGGAATGTCGCCTGTCGGTCGTAACCCCTTGGTGGCCTCAGTATGAACAGATCCTTAACCCATTAAGCTGCAGAGCATCCCCATTGACGAGTAAAATCGTCTGGCATTAGACAAGTAAAAGAAATGAGTAGGGCGCACTGCAGCTAAATGGGTTAATAATACTAGGGATGTGCAGCATTATCGGGTATCACAGGATATTACTAGAACTTTTATTAGAGCCGTGAAACCATCTGTAATGTTTTGTGTTAAGATATTGTGAAACACTAACAACTAGTCTACAGTGCATGTGATACATTGAAACGAAATTACAGAATTGAGTTTTTTTGTGGTGTAAAGTTTAAACTGCTCTCTGCTGTAGATTGACTCTGACAATCCTTGCATGTGAGACAATGAACTATTTTAGGACAAAGTTTAGTGACATATTATCTCTAACTTAAGGGAGTGGTCATTATTTATG